ATTTTTTGTATTTTTAGTAGAGACGGGGTTTCACCATGTTGACCAGGATGGTCTCGATCTCTTGCCTTCGTGATCCACCCGCCTCGGCCTCCCAAAGTGCTGGGATTACAGGCGTGAGCCACCGTGCCTGGCCAGAGCTCGGTTTTTAATTCCTGTGGTACATCAGAGCTGTGATTGTGTGGAAGAGCCACAAAAAGCGGAGGGTGAAATGGTTTGAGCAATTTTTTTTTCCAGAGACTGTAAGCCAGGCTGGAGTGTAGTGGTGCGATCACAGCTCATTGCAACCTTGAACGCCTAGGCTCAAGCAGTCCTCTTGCCTCAGCCTCCTGGGTAGGTAGGACTACAGGTAGATGTGTGCCACAACGCTTGGCTTTTTGTGGAGATGGGGTCTCACTATGTTGGCCTATGTTGGCCAGGCTAATGTTGAACTCTGGGGCAAATGATCATCCTGCGTTGGCCTCCCAAAGTGCTGGGATTATAGGCATGAGCCACTGTGCCCAACCAGGATCTAACAGTTTTATTTATTTATTTATTTTGAGACAGAGTCTCACTCTGTTGCCCAGGCCAGACTGCAGTGGCACAGTCTTGGATCACTGCAGCCTCCGCCTACCAGGTTCAAGTGATTCTTATGCATCAGCCTCCCAAGTAGTTGGGATTACAGGCATGTGCCACCATGCCTGGCTAATTTTTGTATTTTTAGTATAGAAGTGGTTTTGCCATGTTGGCCAGGCTGGCCTCAACCTCCTGACCTCAGGTGATCCACTCGCCTTGGTCTCCCAAAGTGCTGGGATTACAGGTGTGAGGAGCGGCGCCCAGCTGGGTCTAACGGTTTTAAAGGGGAGATAAGCTCCCACCCTGTCTCCAAGCCTGCAGAGCTCTCTAAGGGTGAAAGTCTCAGAGTAGATACACTTCTCTAACCAAACTTTTTTCCTACTAGGTTATCTTAACTCTGAAACAGACTGTTTCTACAGTTTTAGACTCAGGTTAAAGTATTGGGGCAGGTGGGTTTTTTTGTATTTTTTTTTTGAGATGGAGTTTCACTCCTGTTACCCAGGCTGGAGTAGAATGGCGTGATCTCTGCTAACTGCAACCTCCAACTCCCAGGTTCAAGTGATTCTCCTGCCTCAGCCTCCTGAGTAGCTGGGATTATAGGCTTGTGCCACCATGCCCGGCTAATTTTGTGTTTTTAGTAGAGACAGGGTTTCTCCATGTTGGTCAGGCTGGTCTCGAACCCCCAACCTTAGGTGATCCACCTGCCTCAGCCTCCCAAAGTGCTGGTATTACAGGTGTGAGTCACCATGCCCGGCCAGGGCAGGTGCTTAATTCATAGGCCGGAGCCTGTTTGGTTTTGATCAGGTAGAAGCCATAATTTATTTAAAACTTTCGCTGGGACTGAAAGCAAAACTTTTGATTATGACAAAAGTCAAACATTTGAGGCTCTTGTTCAGAATATTGTGAGCATTAGGGCCTTGTCCTGTTCCTGTCTTCTTTTCATGGAGAGGACCTTCCATTTTTTAACTTTCCTTGTCTCTGCAGGCCTCGTCATTTCTGTCTCCTGTTTCTCCACTTCCTTCTCTGTTGGCTGGTCCACTGATGTATAGATTTGTCCATGATGAACTGTGAACTTCTAGCCACATGTAGTGCCCTTGGGTACTTAGAGGGAGACACTTACCACAAGGAACCAGATTGCTTAGGTGAGTACCTGAGGAAACAGGAAAAAATTTGCTCAAATTAAGGAGGTCTGTTGGATTTCTCAAACCATGGGTGTGAAAAGCACGGTGGGCCTGGATGGAGCTTCTTCCAGGGTTCCACATACATGTTTTGTTCTGTCTCGGAAGAGAGTGTGAAGGATCTGATCCGCTACTTGAGGCATGAGGATGAGACACGAGATGTGCGTCAGCAGCTGGGGGCAGCCCAGATCCTACAGAGTGACCTCCTGCCCATCCTCACCCAGCACCGCCAGGACAAGCCTCTCTTTGATGCTGTTATCAGGTTGCCTCCCTAGCTCTTAAACTTTCGCCATGCGCCAGCCTTTGGTGTTTGAGCTTATAGGGTTGGCATTTGAGCTGGTAAGGCAACTTAACTTCTCCCTTCTTCATTGTCTCCCAGACTGATGGTGAACTTGACACAACCAGCCTTGCTCTGTTTTGGCAGTCTGCCTAAGGAGCCCAGCTTTCGGCACCATTTTTTGCAGGTGCTAACTTATTTGCAGGCCTACAAAGTGGTAAGGCTTTCCTTTGGAGTTCCTGGGGTGGAATATGGGGCAGTGGGGAAGAAATAGATGACCACTACTTAAGATCTGGTCCCCTATTTCACAGGCCTTTGCAAGTGAGAAGGCTTTTGGAGTCCTCAGTGAAACCTTGTATGAGCTGCTGCAGCTGGTGAGTGAGTCTTCACCTTACAGGATCCCATGAAACAGCACTTTGCACCTTCTCCGGGCAATGATTAGATGCTGAGATATGGTCCCAGTCCTTGGGGATATGGTAGTCCAATCCATAGTCTCTGGCTGCCAGAGTACAGTCTCTCTGTACTGTTTTACCTCTTTAATCCTGATTCTCTTCTTTGCCTGGGTCTTTCAGCCAGGGTACATGCTGCCTGCCTTCCACAGTGAGTCTCTTCCTCTAACTCTCTTCTGGTTAGGGCTGGGAGGAACGGCAGGAGGAAGACAACTTGCTGATTGAGCGGATCCTACTGCTGGTTAGAAACATTCTCCATGTCCCAGCTGACCTCGATCAGGAGAAGGTGAGGGTCTTGGGTATTCTATGTTCTTGCGCATGGTTAGGTTGAGCGGCCCTTTTAAAGCTATTCTGTCCTCTGACAAGTCTGGGGGAGGAGGCGTGGTCAAAGAATGAGCTGGAGGGCTTCAAGGCAGGGCAGTGGGATTGAATGAGCTTCCTTTCTACCCTCACCACTCACTGTTCAGAAGATTGATGATGATGCCAGTGTCCATGACCAGCTTCTCTGGGCGATTCACCTCAGTGGCCTGGACGACCTGCTCCTCTTTCTGGCCAGCTCGTCTGCAGAGCAGCAGTGGAGCCTACATGTGCTAGAGATTGTCTCCCTTATGTTTCGTGACCAGGTGAGACCCTGGCCTATTGCCCGCGTCCCCTCCGTCCATGTGCTTTTCTACTGTACAGCCAGAATTGCTCTTCTGATAACGTCTGCATTATTTGGGGAAGTCAGGTGACAGCTGGAGTAGCCATGTCTTTTTTTTTTTTTTTTTGACAGAGTTTCGCTCTTGTTGCCCAGGCTGGAGTGCCGTGGCGTGATCTTGACTTACCGCAACCTCTGCCTCCCGGGTTCAAGCGATTTAACTGCCTCAGCCTCCCAAGTAGCTGGGATTACAGTCATACACCACCATGCCCAACTCATTTTATATTTTTAGTAGAGACGGGGTTTCTCCATGTTGGTCAGGCTGGTCTCGAACTCCCCACCTCAGGTGATCCGCCTGCCTCAGCCTCTCCAAAATGTTGGGATTACAGGCGTGAGCCACCGTACCTGGCCTGCCATGTCTTGAGTACAGTAGTACCCACTTCTTCACAGTTTCGCTTTCCTCAATTTTAGTTACTCACAGTCAACCGTGGTCTGAAAATATTAAGTGGAAAATTTCAGAAATAAACATTTTAGAAGTTTTAAACTTGTACATTGTTCTGAGTAGTGTGATGAAATCTTTTGTCCCTGTCTGTCCTGACCAAGATGTGAATCATCCCTCTGTCCAGCATATCCACACTGTATACATGCCTGTTAGCCATGAACTAGCCATCTTGGTTATCAGATTGAAAAAACATAATAGAATGTGTGTGTGTGTGTATATATATGTATATATATATATATATATACATGTTCTATGTTTTCTGATAACATTTAGAACATATATATGTTCTATAAAACAGAACATGTACATGTGTATACATATATAAAAACATATGTATACAAATATATACATATATTATTTCAGTACTGTCTGCAGTTTCAGGCATCCAGTGGGGATCTTGGAACGTATCCCCCTCAGTAAGGGAGAGTGACTACATAGTGTCCCGTTAATGGTTCTATTTTGTTCACTCATTGCATCCCATGTAGGCGTGAACTCAGAATAAGGAATGACTGTCCTTCTGATTTTTCCCTCTTTGTTCCAATCTAGAATCCTGAGCAACTGGCGGGAGTAGGACGGGGACGCTTAGCTCAGGAGCGGAGTACAGATATTGCAGAACTGGAGGTGTTGCGCCAGCGAGAGATGGCAGAAAAGAAGACTCGCGCCCTCCAGCGAGGCAACAGGTAAGAGACAGAGAGCCAGGTTCTTGTTTATACACCATGGAATACTGCGGGTTTGGAAGGCAGAGTCTGAGGTGGGGTGATTGGATAACATTTTAGTTTAGTTTCTTTTTTTCGAGACAGAGTTTTTCTCTTGTCGCCCAGGCTGGAGTGCAATGGCACAATCTTGGCTCATTACAACCTCTGCCTTCCGGATTCAAGCCATTCTCCTGCCTCAGCCTCCCCAGTAGCTGGGACTACAGGAGCCTACCACCACA